GAGCCATAGAAGAAGAAGAAGAAGGATACATGACAAAGATAATTCTACTATCTGAAATAATATGTAAGATGGATACTGTCAACACACACTTACTTTGCCAAGAGCTGAAGTGCAGATATTGGCAAATGCAATCAGCGAGCCAAATGTTAAAGAGGGTAGTACTTCCTGCGACAGAGTCGGGGAAGGCCTGCTGAAGCTCAGCGCTGGTTCCGTAAAAGTAATCTTCACGAGAGGTTCCCACTCCACCTCACACTCTCTGAAGTCCGTGAGCAGACTTACGACGCTGGGAGTGTATGGCATCAAGGTAGCCATGCAGAGGCATACTATATCCAACAACCTGTGTATCAAAAACAAGTAAAAGTTTCAAAGAGAGATGGAGCTGTCTTGTGAGGTTCTGAGGAGAGTGGTGGTGGGGGTTGTGACATAGTGTAGGCATACCTCAAAATGTTGGTATCTACCTATAAGTCTGCACAACATAATAAAATATAAAATGTGGGTGATACAACGTATTTTCTGTATCATAGATTACTATTGATACTTGCCTGTTCTGAATATTGATCAGATGTGGTGAAATATCTGGATCTTCCATCACCATAGCTTTGAGATGTTGCGTCGAAGCTATCGGTGGTTTCTCAACCATGATCTTCAATAATCTTGGATGAATCAAATATGATACACAGCTACTGAGACACACCATTACAGCTTTCTGAAATTGATATAGACTAGGTAGTGCATCTAGGATTTAATTTGGTGATGAGAATGTATTTAAAAACAATTAACAAGTATAAGTTCTGTGAAGGAATAATGATAGTTACTTTTAATTGAATGATTCAATAAATATACACATTTGTTGTTATTCGTGACTAATTTCCACTACTAAAGATTCTGACTATATTAAACTTGTCAGACATTAACTTTAAATTTTCACTTTGGCTCGGCTTTGATTCAGTTACTTGACGATATAATAATGCGATGAAGACTTCAGGATGTTAATATTCATATTATAATGCCAACATAATTTTTGTAATTACAGGGATATATTTCAGTAACGTATAAGCATAAGAATCTCCACAATTCACGCAAGTTTAGACGACTTACCACTACGGCAAACATGGACTTCTCATGAGCAAGTCTCCACATGTCCTTGAATTGTGAGAGTTCTCGAATCAGCGTGAGGGCCGTCACGGCCAGATCCAAAGACCACTTGTCCAGCGAGTGACGAACGTCCATAACGCAAGCAGTGACGTGTTCCTCATGAATTCCTATGAATGTTATCATCTCATCCAGAAACAAATGTTTCTTTGACTGTAGCAGAATGGTAAGCATTTCCAGTGCAGGCTTGTACACCTGAGGCCAGTTCAGTTCTGGCCAGTATTTTGATCTCTGAAAATACA